AGACCCCAGCCCCCCCGCACGTCCCGAGCCGGCCCCGGCCTTCCCGGGGTACTCACATGTTGGCCTCGGGGGTGTCAGGCAGGGGGATGCGGAGGTAGGTAATGTCCTGGAAGACACAAAAGGAAGAGGAGAAACTCGGGCGCTGTGGTTGGGGTGTCACACATGCTTGCAGCCGGTCTGGCAGCGGCTTTGCTCCTCGCCCCAGTGCTGCCTGCGGGGCTTCGCTCCCCCAACACAGCATCCCCCTGCCTGGGGATGGGGCCGCTCTCTCCCTTGGGGAGGGGGAGGGCAGTGGGGGACAGGCAGCTCATGGGAGGGGGTGGGAAACAAGATGAGGCTGGAGAGCTGGAAATAGTTTCCCGTCAGCGTTCAAGGCCAGGTTATAGTCACAAGATGGCCAGTTTCCTATGCCGGGGGGGGCTGCCCAGCTCCTCTGGGACCACTGACCGGGGAGAGGGGAGAGGTGTACGTGCCGTGGGATGCTCAGAGGGGGGAAGGAAGATGCTGCAAGCATGGAAGGAGCTGCAGAGATCTACATGGTGGCGTCGGGTGCAGGACCCTACCTGCAGCAAGGGCTGGGGAGATTCATGGATCGAAATGATGTGGGTGATCTTGTTCCGGCTTAGCTGCTCCAGGTCTTTGGCATCTAAAGGATAAAACTAGATATTAGCATGTATTCATTTCTTACCTTTCTCTTCCTACAAGCGCATCTGCCGTGCTCCTGCAGACAGACAGCACGCAAAGCCGTGCTCCAGAGGATCGGCTGCATCACAACCCCCGCATGCAGTGGCACAGATGTGGGCAAATATGCAAACGCACCCTGGAAATCTGGAACGCAAACCCTGTGATACCAAACCAGAGACCTCCTCCCTGCGAAGGCACTCGGCCTTGCTGCTCATGCTGGGGTGAGCATTCACACCTGCATGGAAAAACTCCCTCCTCTGCAAGCAGGCAGCTTCCCGCCTGCCCGTACTTGTCCCCAGCTTGGGGAGGAGACGCGCGCTCTGCCTGCACCTCCCCTGTGCAAACATGTACGTAGCAATGGGACTTGCTGCAGCTTGAGGGATCTGCTTTGTCTTGTGAACTATGGAAGTGAAGCTGCAGCGATTCGTATCAGCCCTGAGTTTGGCTCACTCTGCCTGAGTTCCTCTTTAGCACCCGGGGGATCTGCAGAAAACACCAGAACAGCACCTTGCAGCACTCTGCGTGTATCCTCTCTGCAGTTGCATGCACAGAAATCGGGTATCCTCAGCTGTCTGGGGCAATGACCTGCTTCTCACTAATGCTTCAGCACCCCTGGCTGTGATCCTGGCCACTGGTCCAGCACAGCGGTTGTTACGCTGGGAGGGGAGCATGCTCGTCTCGCTGGCTGAGCAGCTTCGTAGCTGTTTCCCTTTCGTGCCACAACCGGCGGATGCTGCACGAGCTGCCGGAGAGGAGGACTAACAATTCCCCATCTCGTCACTTTGGGTTTCTAAACTTTCACGTGGTGCAAAACCTTGGCTCGGGAATCCAGACTGCGATGTGCTAACGGCATGATGTGGATTTTAATAGGAGTGAGTCTCAAGAGAGACGCTCCACAGGCGAGCCGTGCCGTGTGCGTGTGGGGAGGGAGGTGGGGACCCTCGTGGGGACTTGCACAGCACCCGCCACCTTCCCACCCGCCTTGGGCAGGCAGAATGATGGCAATTAGTGACGCCAGCTTCAAGGCTTACAGTGGCTCGAAAAGCTTTCAGTTGGAGAGAATGTCTCCGAGCAGTCAGAGCTTAACGCAGCAGGCCTGAAATCTCTGTCGTCTCCCTGGATTGCTTGGTAGAGCGATGCTCGGGTGGCATCAGGCCAAGACCCCACGTCAGGGGTCACTCGCAGGAACCCCTGCGATGAACCTGGGAGGCAGGTGCCCTTGCCCCTCTGCTCCCAGCGAGTCGCAGCCCCCCCAGCCCACCCTAAGGTGCTCCATGGGGTGCAGGGAGCCCAGGGCTGCCCTGGCCAGGGCCGCTGCTCAGGCTCCAATGACATTTTCTTAGCAATTCACACCAGTGGTTTTAAACCTTCTCAGCACTTACAGCGGGAATCAAGCTGCCAAAAGAGCCATTAGGGAGGCAGGAGCACTAATAAATGCTGGTTTGTGATGGCAGATGCCATCACTTGGTCGTGAATTGTTGTCCCCTGACAATGAAAACCCTTTAAAATAGCGAATTGGTGTGAGAAGGGGTGACTGCCTCTGGGAGAAATTCCCTCCTGAGGGTGGGCAGCCCCCTCCTGCATCTCCTGCAGCTACGGAACTGGGGTGCATCACCCTGAGCGGCTCCGGTCCTGCTCCCTTGTGCTGGTGCAGCACCACCAGCTCCTCTGCCCCCGGCATGGGGTCCACACCAGCTCAGG